GCTGTATTCACAACAGTGAGTGCTTATAGGGATTGGAGAATAGTTTAGATGGCAAAACAAAATGTATAGCTGAAATTAACTCTTGGTCTTGAAAGAATGGAGATTTGTGTAATTAGGTATATCATGTTGACATCGTAGGTGGAAATTACCTTTATATCTTTGTTTGGTTTATATTTTTGAAAGCAAACTGCTGAATGCGCACAATCCAATGATAGCGTGATTATGGAATTGAACATTGTTTTATATATTTTTATCCCAAAAGTGATATGAAATGAACAACAGTGGAATTTCAGAACCGTGTTTTCATTTGATACTACAAACATACATTTGGGCCACACATTTGTGATGGTTAACTGTAGCTAAGATGGGCCTGTAAAACAGAGCCAGATTTTTTTTTTTAATGGAGTTAATTAAGAGTCCTTAAACTATAGTGTCCACCCTTCTCCCAGAGTAGTGCAGAATAAAGGCAGTCTGCTTTCCAATAGCTTGAAAATTATTTTCACAATAATTTTTTACCTCTGTGCTTCTTCCTACAGCTCGCTACAGTTCCCAAACTTGCCAGAGCAGATTTTGAGGTTATGCGAGAGGCTGAAAATAGGAAATACAAAATACAGCTTCCCTTCCAGTTCCATTAGCAGAAGAATTTTGTAAGGTTAAATCAGCCTTTCATATACTTTATTAAACCTAAAATCCTGGTTTATAAATTACAGCATTCATATATGCACTAGGGTGAAATTTAAAAAAAACCCAATAGTGTTCAGTGTTATTCAAGAACCCATTTTTGTTGTTGTTATGATCTCACAAACACATCTATATGAAAATTTTACATTTTTTATTGGAATCTGAAAGAGAGTGTATTTACTATGATTTGTTTTGGTATTTCCAGAGTCTCAGCTAGATCTTCCCTAATCTGGTTGTTGATGCCAGTGGTTAAACCTGGAGCCTTGTATTCACAGCATCTATTATGCACCAGTGTCTCTCCTCTATGATAGTCAAATCTTTAAGGCAATCTTTGTTCATCATGACTTCATAGATACACCCATGTAATTTTCCTGGTAGCATTATGGAAGCGATTTATCATTGCTTTTTTCTCAGACAGAAATGGTTTATCACTGAGTCTAGCCTGTAGTCCTGTGATTCTGTTTAAAATATAGAATCTAATTGGCCTCAAGGATTCCAGCCTCCTCTGGATATGCAATGCTTGTTTGTGGAGCTTTTTATATCTAGAAAGTATAGATAATGATACAAATAAGGCAACTTTCATATGCTTCAAGGCACATCTTTTGCCAGTCTTACCATGAAGTCATAATGTGATGACGTAATTGAAATTATCACAATGTGGAGGCATGATGGAGGCAAATAAAAATGTCTCTGTAAGATATCTGTAGGGTTTACACTCTTTAATAAGAGAGGGGAGGGAGCAAACAGTTTAAAACCATGCCGTTTATCTTTGGTCAGGGACTGACCAATTACTATGCAGGTTGCAGAAGAAAGTAAGTAATGTGAACCAAGAGCAGCAGCTGAAATATTAAATATTGTAAAGCATTGCCAATCCATTTTATATATTGGCTTAATGCCTTACCCTTCATGCAGAAATTTTTAGGGTGCAACTGTTGTAGAGGAGAAGATAAAACACTAGCAGAAAATGCTGGCATCCTGAAATATTAGTAAAGGTGTTGTATAATGTACTCTTACTAGCACTGGATTCTTTTAATGTTGCTTCCTTATTAGTTTTTCTTGGTAATTGCAGAGACAATATCTGCATTGTTTATCTGCAACAGCAGTGTTCACGTTGCCCTTTAAGAATAATGCAAATATAAAGGAAATCTTAGCACACTGTAGAATGTCTTTGTGATATGAGCTTTTGGAGAAAGGCATTCATCCATGTCCTGAGCTCATATTCGTCTGCTCCAGAACAAGTTTGTAGCAACAACTTGTTACTTCTAGGAATTGAAAAGCAAGAGTGCTTTATAATATAGCATTATTTAGCATAAATTGAAATGGGAATAGGGACCCCCCCCAATCCTTTATACCAGGAGTGTCAAACATGATCACATCGCAGGCTGTATAGTGATGTATTGGGATCGTTTTTGCCCTTGCAGAGTCGGGGTGGGTGTAGCCTGGGCGGACTGTATCCAGCCCGTGTGCCTCATGTTTGACACCCCTATTTTATACCACTCTCTTTTTACATTTGCTTTTTTCATCATTATATCTCCTTAATTTTTCTCATATATGTCTCTTTTCATTGTGAAGTTTTTTAGGCCACCCTGATCTGTATGACTTTTTACCGTTTTTAATTCTGTTTTCATTTATGCTATTGTAATCACTGCTTCAGGGTTTTTAAATAAGCAATATATACATACTTTTAATGAATTAGATATTTTTGGAGTATGATTAGTCTGCACAAATAGTGACACTTTAACTTTTAAATCAAATTAGTTCTTAAATTAACTGGACTTTATGGTTGACAGCTGAATTCTATTCGTCAACCTACAGATAGCTACTATAGACCCAGATCCTTCCCTTATCTGAATTTTGAGACCTCTGTCATGTGTTTAAAAGTATATTAATATGTGAATTTTACAAATAGAGAATTTTCAATCTTGAGAACAAATTTGGTTAGAATTTTCTGGTTTTCTGCACATATTATGGTAAGCTATACTATGGTGGGGTTTGCCTTACCATGACTTGCAGTTTTGACTAACTCTAAGGTTGTTTGGGATTAATACGAACAGTGATACAGCTATGTTTATTTGGCATTTCATTAATCAGTTGCCTATCTTTTGTGTTGTGAAGATACATGAGTACTGATCAACTTTGCCAAAATGAGAAATTATTAATATAGAAACCATACATTCCCAACTGTTTCAGGAGTGCTGTTTGTTTTTACTGTTTTTAAGAAGTACAGGCCAGATTCAGATTTTTTTTTATCTTATTTCTTAGAAATCAAAGGTCAGTTGAAATGTCTTGAGTTTATGAACAGTGAGCTGAACAAAAACTACAACATGTACAGGAATTGCACATCCCTAAGAATACATGTAGCTATTCTTGTTCAGTGAATTGTATGATAACTGTAGAAAGTTTTGTTGTTTAAAGACTGTAGCTTGTAAATTATAAGGATCTCTTGCAAATTCATTTATTGACAAGCAAGTTTCTTTTTTAAAATATTTATTAAGAATGTTAATTAAAAGAGAAGGGAATAGGAAAATAGGAATAGGAAAAAAGAAAAAAGTGCACAAAATGATGGTTTTAACTCTGGTTAGAGAAATTAACTTTGTATTCCTTTCTTTTACTTCTAACAGTCTTAATCTTTAATCCAATCAAATATGGTCGTTGGATTTGATTTCTCTTTCATTCTTTTTTATCCGATTGCACAGATTGCTTCAAGTCTTGAACGAGCCTCTTTTATAGATCCAATAAGAATACATTTTTCATGTCTTCTCTTGGTTTATAATTTCTATTTCCTTTTAAATTTTAAATCGCAAGCAAATTCTTTTGTATAAAGTCAGTAAAGCATCCTTTTCCAAATCATTCTCTTGTAGTTCAATTTTTGCTACATTCTCTGTCTTGTCAGATAAAATTTATTCCATTCCATCAGTAACATCTTTTAGTCTTAGTCTGTCCATAGAAACAGACATGATTACTGACTGTGTTGATATTATAGCCAATCTCATTGTACACATGTTGTACTCTGACCATAAAGGTAATAATATTTACTAATATTTACTAATTTCTGCTCCATTTTTCAACTATCTCTAATATTTAATATATTTTAATATTTTGTATTGTGTTGTAAATCTCAGCACTGGTGTCATTTTTTCTTCTCTTATGATCTTTAGTTCCCTCTAATGTCCAGTTTCTAAAACAATTACTTACCTTTGTTCTGACTTACAATAACCAATATAGCCAAAAATAATCAAATTAGAAACCTGACAAGAAGCTGTTCATTTTTTTTTATAGTTAATTTCAAAAATCTTAAAGTAAAAGCCAATATTCCAAATTTATCAGGATCCTTATTCCATTTATAACTTTTTTTAGGTCAAAATCTTACTTAGTTTTTTGTTGTTTGTTTCAAATTCTTTGAAATTTTTAAATTTGTTAAGTTTTTTTCAGAATTGAAAATAATGAGTTTTAAAGGTCTATAATAAATTCAAGAAGGTTAATAAGCAATTTCTGAAAGTGATTAGAGGTGACATTTTTTGAACTTAAGTGTCTTTTAAAAGCTCCCCTGTGGTTTCAAACAAGATGGCTGATTCTGTCATCTTCCAGCATTCAGACATGGGCAAAACCTCTGCCCTGAGGTTTCCTTGCAAGGAGTAGCTGCCCCAAGCACACATGGAAGATTTCTCACCCTCTCCTTTTCTGGAGAGATTCCAAGAAACTGTTCTACTGACCAGTTCCTTGGTCTTCGCCATGATTGTTGGCTCTACATTTTAATTTCACAATATCTCCCCTGGAAGTTACAGACAAATTTCTTAACTTGCTTAAAAACAATAACAACCCCCCCCCCCCCAACTTCCATTGTTGAGCAGATAAGAACATAACTTTGGGCAGGCTCCTCACAGCTACCACTTACATAGAGTTGAAAAGGCAGATAAAGGAAATGGAAAGTATGTTCCTTCAGCTGTAATTCTTTTTAGGTGTGCTTGAAGGCTGATATTGTAGGCAAAGCTTATTGGAAGCATAGATAAAGCATAGTAGCTATAAACTATTCAAAACTGATTTTTTTACCCATTTTCCAAAACTGCGTTTAGGATTTATCCTTGTTGTTTCAAAAATGAAACTCTTTACCTAACTCTATAGTGATATATTAACTACCCTTTTATTTCAGTTTCAAAACAGCTTCTAAAAATACTTAACTGAATATTTTTTTTATTGCAACAGAAGTGATCAGTTTTGAGGTATCCTCCTCAGTACGTCTTGGGGAAAGGCAGTTCAGTTTCAGGTCTTTTGAGGAAAGCAAATTTAGACTGAACTTGCCTCTCTCCTTTTTTTTACAGCTAAGAAGAAGAACAAGAAGACCAAGACTCTGACTCTGACGGATTTTCTGGCAGAGGATGGTGGTGGTGGTGGTGGTGGTGGCGGCGGCGGTGGTGGTGGTACCACCTATATTCCAAAACCAGTCAGCTGGGCAGATGAAACAGATGACCTGGAAGGAGATGGTAAGGAGGAAATTAACTCTCCCAACCTTGTATAGTAATGTTTTACTTTGATAGGTAAGGTTCACTAAGAAACATCCAGTTAATATTTTTAGCAAGGTTGTTGGTTTATTCCTCTTAACTTTCCTGCGGGATTTTTATTAGCTGTGTGAATAAGCAGCTATTAATGGAAGGGAAAGCATTTCAAATTGGGGGGGAAATTGTGTGGGGTTCAAAACAGCTGTTTCAAATTGTTTTGACTCTTCTGGTATTTTGAGCTTGAAATACTCTTGACACATTTTGTTTCTGACTCAAAATAGCATGTTTCAAAGTGAAACAACTGCTTTGAACAGAAATTCGGCGTTTCAGATAGGAAACAACTTGAACCCCTTTAGTAACTAAATAAAGTGGAATAGATACCAAGAGTTTCTACCTTTACAGAAATTGTTAATCTTAATAGCCCAAACATATATTCAAGAAAAGCTGTCAGATACTACAGTAGGCTGAGCTTTAAAGCTGTTTGGAGCATTGCTGAAACCAGCACTACTTTGGAGGCAAGTTTGCACCTTCCTAATATTTCAGACTAGCATGATAAACTTGGCATTCCTCTGTGCCCTTTTTGCTAGTTTTGATTTACTGTGTAAACATATATGAAATGGGAACATTTCCTAAGAAGTAAGGATCCTCCCTGAGAATTAACTCCCTGAGAATTAACTCCCTGAGAATTAACACTGTAATTTGCTGAGTAGAAAGAGAAGCAACTTGCCTGTGTGTAGAGGCATTTTAATACATTCTTGCTGGATAATAAAAATTGATTTTTAAAAATAATAATAATCATACATTTGAATTTCAGAAATAGTGGAGTCCTTGGTGCTTTCTGAGCTTGGCTGTTTGCTTGCAGACCCAACTAAGTAATATCTTTAGTACTAGTAAATGTGGGGTTTATTCCGTTTATATATAGTAGCTTGCCCTGCCATTCTCTATAAGGATGCTGCTTTTTCCCTTGATTAGTTCCTTGTTTTCTTGATTGTTTTGTCTGTTGTTAACCCCCTTCTTATCTAAGTGTTGGTTGCTAGAGTGGATGTATTTTGGCCTGCTTATTGCCTTGTAAGTTTTTCATTGTCTCTTGAATGGCGTGTAAACATGGTTTATCTCTATAGACACATAGGAAACCAGGAAGAAAACCACACCCTCACCAGCCTGACAGGGCAAGTTACTGTATCTGCAAGGAAACAGCCAAGCTCAGAGAGCATTAAAGACTCCAAAGTTCAACCCTGAGCGCCATACGTTCTCTTCTGTTGGTTTCAAGAATAGTTTTTTTCCTACTTTATCCTCATTATCTGTGTAATTGCAATTGTGTTACATTCCTGCTAGTTTCATATATTGTTTTATAGTGTTTTTGCTAAGAGAAATTTGGAAGATATTTATTTTTGCACGTAACACTGTTGAAAGTAAACAGAAGTAATCACTCTTTACCAGGTATTCTCTCCATCCCTAGCAATGGCTGTGCTACTGCAAACTAGTGTAGTATTTACTTGTAAAATCATTGGGTTTGTTAATGTGCAAAAATGTTCTCCTAGTTTCCACCACCTGGCATAGCAATGATGATGATGTGTACCGAGCCCCTCCGATTGACCGTTCCATCCTGCCTACTGCACCTCGGGCAGCTCGGGAGCCCAATATTGACAGAAGCCGTCTCCCAAAATCACCCCCCTACACTGCCTTTCTGGGAAATTTGCCCTATGATGTAACAGAAGAATCTATTAAGGATTTCTTCAGAGGACTTAATGTGAGTATATGAGATAACCTGAGTTTCCCTACAGGCAACATGTTTATTTCTTCTTAGTGTTAAGATGGAAAATTGTTCAATGAAATTGAGATACTAGACAATCTTTGAGTGGAGATTACACCTTGCATAACAGCCCTGTGTACTCAAGGGTTGTCAAAGTATCTCTACTCTGGGGAGTTTGCTTTTAGTAGAAACACTAAAAAGGCTACCATGATTATTTGTGCTATCACAGAACTAGTCAATTCAGAGTATCTCTTCAAATTTTCACAATCATGTCTCAGTATATAGGTGAAACTTCCAAGAACCTGGAAAGGAAAAAAGACCTGAATTTTTTTTTTATGGGTTTGTTCTTTTTAAGACTAAAACTTAGATGTCCTAAACAATCTCAGTTGCTTTGAGATAGTACTCAAGTCACTATCCTGACTGCTGTAGTCTGAGATTAGGATATTTGTTGGTGTTTATTAAGAATGAGATGAGTGATTTAGTCAAGCTTTGGATAGCATTATCCACCCATCTAGATTTGGATTGAAGAGCATTGAGCTGAAAAGAGGCAACCAACAGCTTTTTCTGGGAGCAGCTGCACTGGGCTTACAGTGGCAGTTATTTTCATAGAACTGGCAGTTCTCTTGTGGCATATCATTTGGGAATTGCTGCTGTAATCACTCTGCAGTGATCACAACAGTAATATCTCTTGTTTGGAAATGCTGGCCATGACAGGCTGATAAAGCTGCCTTTAAAGTGTTAAATTTCTTTTCAATTCTCAAGGATTTTCTGTAACGACCTTAAAGCAATTTTATAGGAAGAATTGTGTGATTTAAAAAGTTGATGAAATCTCTTTCTTGCTGTAACATTGCAAATACTAGGCAATCTTCCAAATCCCTATAAACCTAAACATTTGTCCAAATTCTGATAATTGCAAAAAGAGGGGTAATATAGTGATTCTGGGATAATATGCAGTTCTGTCTTAATAAGTGACTTGATTTAAAGAATGAAATCTAGCATTTGAATAGAATAGAATTCTTTATTGGCCAAGCGTGATTGGACACACAAGGAATTTTTCTTGGTGCAAATGCTCTCAGTGTACATAAAAGAAAAGATACATTCGCCAAGTGTCAAGAATCATAAGGCACAACACTTAATAATATTTGCATCCATTACTGTCTTTCTTTCAAGTGATTCACTCTGCCCGTTACTAATAATGATTTTTACTTTTTTAATTGGGTGCAATTTGGTAATTTATCAAACTTTCAAACTTGTGTGCTGCTCACTCAGCAACTATAGGCAGCTCACAACAATCAAAGAAATAACAGTAAGATCCATTAAAAAATAAAGATAAAAGATGACGAGCATTGGAGTGAGGAGGTCCCATTCTCCCTCATCTTCCCTCAATTAATGGCTCTTCTAAACAACAGCAAAGTGGGGACAATAAATTATTTTTAACTGCACTTTTTTTTACACCTGAACTGTAATGCTATTGTTATGTTAATTTTATACAAAGTAACTACTGAAAATATTTTCCTTTCACAATTTACATTTAGCTGCAAATAAGTGCTGTTCGTTTGCCCCGAGAGCCTAATAACCCAGAGAGGTTGAAAGGATTTGGATATGCTGAATTTGAAGACTTAGACTCCTTGCTCCGTGCCTTGAGCTTCAGTGAAGAGGTGAGTTGAACCTTGTCAAATGCAGGCAAAGTCCATTACTGTTAAGAACAGTCAAGAGTTAAACTGCTTCATTTAAGTAGTGGGTAGAGTTTTAAAGAAAATATTTCATTTTGAAGACATAATTCAGGCTAGATTCACAGGGGAAGAACTCAATCAAAAAGTTACCTAATAATACAAGATCTAGGTGCACCTCTCAAGTATTTGAAACTAAATGGAATATATGAAGGCATCTGTCTGTCGACTAGGAATTGAAAACATTTTGATGGGCCCAAATCAATCAGTTAATCATAGGAAGGCACTTAAATTCCTTTTGCTCTTCATTTCTAGGCTCCATGTATAATAGTATAATTAGCTGTGCATAATATACTTGCATGTTTATTTTTATTCTGGGATGGTTATAACTAATGTTATACAGTCTCATCTGATGTGTTTATATTAGTGCTTTATAGTTTGGGGTTCTTTATTTTTTAATTGTTTGCGTCAGATATATATCTGCTTATATTATTTAGTAGTATGAAGCATCTTTTACTGAATCCAAGAATAGTCAGCTACCTCAATACTTATGTCTACTCTGTTATATGCAGTTTCTTCCATTGTCCTTCTCTTTTTCCAGCAACATAGAGGATACTACTAGTTAGTGAGTGGGGTGCAGTATAATGAAACAGTGGCTTACTCAGCATTTGCCGAGGACTGCCTATTAGACACAATACTTATAAGCCTTGTTGTTTGACAGTGAGATGTTTAACCTCCAAATACATATAAGTTCTATTTGTATGGAACAGAAGAAAGAATCAGAATAAACGTAGATAAATTTTATGGGAATATCTCAAGGCCATAAGATGACTAGGTTTCCTCTGTCCAGGATATGACATAGAACTTTGACATAATGTGTCCTTTCTATCTGACCACTTACATTCTATATAATCTAATCTACCTTTTTGAAAAGGAGACTATCAAATCCACTTTTAGTTTAAAGTTACTTGATAATTTAACAGATTCCAAGAGAGAACACGTGCTAGTTTTAATTCAATGCATTTCCTATTTCTGTGGTGATTCTGAGTATAGCTGCATCAATGAAAGTTTATAATTACAGTGGAGAACATGGGACAAATTTCAGTATTCAGAAGGATAGGCATGCTATTTATTGCAGAAAAATAATGAAATGTCTTGTGACACCTTGAATATTGTGGATTAAAAATAATAAAATAAATGTATTTGCTCTTAAAGTGCTACATAATTGTGTTGTAATCGAATGAGCATTTGATTTGAATCAAGTGAGCATTAATGGCATTAATGGATAGTATTTACAGTTTTTGCTAGCGTAATTTCATCAGCATTTAGAGCTATTGGAACTCACGATGCATAAAATTACAACAGGATGATACGTGATCCAAGGCATTATAGTTTGCAATCCATGTCATATAAGTTAAGCATGATGTATAAACCAAACGGTTAACTAAACCATAGTTAAAACCATGTGTAGCTTAGCGTAATATATGAGCCCAGCCACTACGTAATTCCATCTCTGCGAGTTAAATAAGATTTCATCTTTGAATGTAACAGTTACTATTTTGTTGCATGTCTAGTGTCTAGGGAACAGGAGAATACGAGTGGATGTTGCTGATCAAGCTCAGGATAAAGGTAAGCATTGACATTCAGTAAATTGAGGCCTTATACTACATGAAAGACTTATTATATACATTCAGATATATTCAGCTGGAATGGAAATGTATTATAGAAATCGGACAGATTTTGTTTATCTCTTCCTACAGTAAGCCAGTTTTTCTGTTCACCCTCTTGATTCCAAAGCTCCGCCCCTCCTTTGTCTCCGTCCGTCTAATTTATATGGCTTCCCATCTCACACAAACTGACTCGGCACTGTAGAATAAAACCGACAAGTTACAGGTTTTGCTGTCAAGTCCTGTGTCAGGGACAAGAGAAGCTCTGTTTTTTTAGAGATGCCAATAAACCAACTCAGCAGTTTTTTTGCCTATTGCTGTTCATATTAAGTGGTTTTGTCATGCCATGCTGGACTGTTTATTGTTTTAACACTGGGATTATTAGATTCTGCTTCTATTGTTCCTCCTTTCACCATGGCTGGAAGAAGACCTACAAACATTTGTCTGAAATAAATTTTTGTTGCAACAATACTGTACGGCATGCTTCAGTTCGAATGGCATCTGCTATGGTTAAGAGGACTTATAATTTCCTCTATGAAATATGAAGCTGGATGAATTAGATATGCCTCTTTAAACATTGTGGGTCATTTCGCCTTCTTCCTACAGATAGGGATGATCGCTCTTTTGGCAGAGACCGTGATCGCAATCGGGATTCAGAAAGATTCGAGACTGACTGGAGGGCACGTCCCACTACAGATAACTTTGATGATTATCCTCCTCGCAGAAGCGAGGATAGCTTTGGAGACAGTGAGTTCTTGATTTCCTCCTAATTTCCTGCATGAATCTGGAATATTGTTACCCTGAGCTGTTGGGAGATATATGACTAGGTTACAGACTATAACATGTTTTTTGTAAGCGTGCCCCGCTGGATTGGTCCCCTGGCCCATCTAGTTCAGTCTGTTTTTACACTGGCCAACCAACTGCACAAGGAAGCCAACTAATCCCTATCAGATGGCCTTCAGTGGCAATCACACCTTAAGCCATGTTTAAGTTTTAACAGTATTTAGGTAAAAATTAAAATTGAATTAAATTAAAAGTGCATCATACATCTCTGATTATGTCACAATTCAGAGCCAAAATAACTGGAAAGCTATTAATTTCACAGGAGAGGCCATTCCAGAGGACAGAGGGCCTCTCACAAGAGGCAGCATCTCCATACCTTACACCTGCTTCACTTCTCAGAAATGAAGCACTATTAACAGTTTGTCTAGGAGAGGCTAACATATCATTTTATAATAAGGAGGTTAAAAACAATACCAAAAGGCCAATTAATTACAATTATGATTACAATAACACAAGCCTCAGTGGCTCAGGACTCAGCCATTTCCTATTCAAGATTGTCTGGAAAAGCCATGTGTTAATAGTCTTTCTAAAGTTTCCCAGGTATGGGTCAGGCTAATTTTAGGAGGTATGCTGTTCCAAAGAGGGTGCTACCAAGAAAACTCATTTCCGAAGCTGTTGACAATCTTTAAGAGAAAGAGCCCAGGAGAATACACCTTTGTTTGATTTGTATCTTGCCTTGATTATTTTTATAAATAACTCAAGGCAGCAAACATATCCTACACATCTTCCTCCTACTATTTTCCCTACTACAACTATCCTGTGAGATGAGTTGGGCTGAGAGAGAGTGACTGGCCCAAGGTCACACAGCTGGCTTTCATGGATACAGTGGGACTTGAACTCACGGTCTCCTGCTTTCCAGTCTGGTGCTTCAGCCAGTAGCCCAAATTGACTCTCAGATGTTAGATCTTATTGGATAGGCAGAATCTATTAAGAGGAGGCAGTTTTGTAGATATTCAGGTCCTAAGCTATAAAGGCCTTTGAGGTAACTGTGAGCATCATAAGTTATATCTGAAAAAGAACTAGCAACAAGTGCAGCTCTCGGAACGGTTTACAGAGTGTGCATATTTCCCCCAACAATCTGAGTCCTCATTTTACCAACCTTGGATGGATGGAAGGCTGAGTCAATCTTGAGCCAGTCAGGATCGACGGAATTGAACTCCTGGCAGTGTGAGCAGAGTTAGCCTGGAATACTGCACTCTAACAACTGCACCACCACGGCTCTTATATTGCATATGATGGGCAGCAGTTTAATTTCTTGTGGCTGTTTTATCATGCCCTCCAAAGTAGGCATTTTGCAAGAGTACCCGTAACATAGATTTCAAAATACATCCAGTTGTACAACAAGTTTGAGGAAATCTTGATATGCCACATAATACAGGTCGTCCTTGAGTTACTACTACAATTGGGACTGAAATTTCCATCATAAATGTGGCCATAAAAGATATGATTGCATCACTTAGCAATGGCAATCCTTACACCCCTTGTTGCCATCATTAATCATGTCCCACCAGTTGCTAACCAACGGCCCACCCAGATTGCCTGTCTTTCATCTCTCCCCCTTCACCCCCCCCCCCGCACCCTTCACCCTGCCTTGTGAGGCAGTAAACAACCCCAGAACCCTGTAGCATGGGGGCTTCTTGGCATGCCACAACTTGAGCCGTAAGAAGCCCCCGAGCTATAGCATTCAACCAGCCCAACTGTGCAAACCATCAGCTGCCCAGCCCAGCAGTGCAAAAAGCCACAGCCACCCCAGGGAGACTTAGCTGCCCTGGCCCAGCCCAGCGGTGCAGTGCAAAACTGCAGCCACTCCAGCCCAGCAGTTTAGTAAGGCAGCTGCTGGCCACATGATGCTTCCTTCCCAAGATCTCTTGAGGGAACCACTGCATGGCATCTCAGGAGGGAGGCCTCATCAAACCAGCAGCTGTCTCCTGAATGGCCAGGCTGGGCATACTTGATCAGAGCATGCCCAGCAAGGAAACGTGGAAGGTCAGCTGGGGGCAGCAGGACATGGGGCTGCTGAATTCTGGGGGCCAAAAAGGCAGAGATGTGGGGTGGGGGGAGATAGGGGGGGGGGGAATTGTGCTCCTGTGGTTGTAAATGCGGGGAGACTGCCAAGTGTCTGGATTTTGATCAGTCTAGTTTAGTCCAGTGGTTAAAGCACTAGATTAGAAAATTGGAGACTGTGAGTTCAAGTACTACCTTAGCCATTAAAGACAGACAGACAGCTGGGTGACTTTGGACTAGTCATACACTCTCAGCCAAACCCACCTCATAGGTTGTTGTGGGAAAATAGAAGGAGGAAGGTATGTTGAATGTGTTCACTGCCTTGTGTTATTTGCAAAAAATAATACAGGCGGATAAAATAAATACCCATGTGAAAGCAATGTAGAAAAGCTAAATAATACAATTTAATGGGCCTGATCAAGACTGCTTTGTATACTATATACAGCAATTTCAATTTCAGAACACCGGTGCTTGGACTAGACATCGAACCCAGATGCTGAATTCGGCCTCCTGTAGTCACCAGCAGATTTTAAGATTTTTTTACACCCAAGGAGGCCAGTTTATTCCTTCTGCTCTGCGTATTTACAAAGCCAAAACTTTGGCTCAAATTCTTTACGGAATTCCCATATGGATACGGGGCTTCAAGGATTGTATTGAAAGAATCCAGGCTGTCTTTCTTAGAAAACTTCTGGGTCTTCCTCCTTGTGTTGGTTTTGCTCCGATGTACCTGGAACTGGGCACTCGATCAGTCGAATGTATGGCGTGGATTAACACCTTTAAATGGTGGTTTCGGGTGCTCTTTCTGGCAGTTCCTGGTCGCTACCTCTTCCTGGCATTTGTTGACTCTCATATTTCTCATTGGGAGAGGGAGCTGATGAAGAAATTACACCTGCTAGGTTTTAGGGGGGATGCTGGGAGATTATGGCCTTAAGGAAGCCCAGTTTAGGGTAGTCCAACGGCTTGTGGACATTGACTTGCAATATCTATGAGCCATAGCTAACAAAACTTGCTCCCCTTTGATCTTCAGCCAATCTAATAATTACGGACTGAGGATGGCTTCCTATTTTTACACTCTAACCATTCCCAAGAATAGAAGAGCTTTCTCCCTAGCTCGCTTTAATGTCTTGCCCTCAGCAGTACTGGATGGGCGATTTAAGAGGCTCTCGATTAACGAGCGGCTATGCCCCTGGGACAGAGCTGAGGTTGAAACTGTGGAGCATGTCCTTTTATATTGCCCTATGTATAACGCAGGCAGATCTAAGTGACTGTCTCTCCTTGAAACAGACCCTTCTAGACCCAAAGTTAGTAATTTGTTCTTATATTGTCTTGGGGATGGCTCCTCATACCTCACTTCTTTGGTTTCCATTTTTTTTTAAAAAAGCTGTAACCATCAGAGGAGAACATTATAATTCCCCTTAGTCAAGTTTTTGGTGACCAATTGTTCATGACTAATTTTCCCATGTTCTTTTGTTGTACTTGTGTTTTGGTCTGTGACCACAAATAAATAATAAATTATTATTATTATTATTATTATTATTATTATTATTATTATTATTATTATTATTATTATTATTATTATTATTATTATTATTATATACAGCAATTAAAAGCATGGTGAAAGACTACCTCTAATTTGAATTCTTTTTTCCAGGGTATATAATAAAATGTAATCATTTGATGGAAACAAGCCAAATCATGTTTTTACCATATACCTTTGGTATATGCAATGCTTTCAAATGCAAGTGTTTTTCTCACTGGACAAAATGAAAACAGTATGATTTCTCATGAATGTGCTGTACACTCAGATTACAAAAAATCAGCTGTTGACTTTCCAATCTCCCAAAGTTTGTGAAAATGGCAAAATCCCTTTCCTCAAACTTTTGTATTAATTTTAATTGTGGTGATTTTAATTATGCATTTTAATTGTACTTTTATTATGCCCTATATTTTGTATTTTGCTCAGCTCCATCCAGTCACCCAAACTCTACTCCAAATTAAGGGAGTACAGGGTTGTAAAGAGGAAGTTTTATTTTAATTGCTACAAGTTACCTTGAATGTATTGTATAAACATAATGCTGGGATATAAAATATTAATGCATAAAGAAGCAATCCTTGATGGAGCCTAAAACTTGTCACCTTACCACTCATTATGTTAGATGCTTTTATGAAAGTAATTGCTCAGCATTTATTTTGTGTAAAATTAAATAAATTTTTATTTTCTCTCTTAGGGTATCGGGACCGTGATCGCTATGATTCAGACCGGTACCGTGATGGTGGTGCCCGAAGAGATACGGATCGCTTTGGAGGCCGAGACCGTTATGATGATCGTAGAGACTATGACAGGGGAGGTACTGTAGCTGCCTGATTTCATTCTCGGGGTTGGCACTTAGATAGCACTTGATTTTCATATAGCTGTATCTGTGTTGCTTTTGCATTCCTGTATCCTCTCCTTCATTATTCTGGCACAAAATAATTCAGGTTTATCCTAATTTATCATAGGGGACTTCAAAGGCATTTCTCCATTGAAAGTGAGCTTAATTGGAGTTTGGATGTGAGATGCAGAGAAGTGTTAAGGAGAAAATATTATCTCAGAAGCAATCATTTGTTGCTCTGGAATTGAAAAGAGCCATACTTAGTTTGAAAAATACTCACCTACTGTACATGATTAGTCTTACTCGTTCCTGCACAATAGTATCTTGTCACATTCTCTCATTTGTTGTTCTGTTGGTTAGGGATATATATAAGATTTAAAAGTAAATAAGAGATTATTACTTCTGGGTCCTGATTCTTTCCTAGCTTCTAGTGATGATAGGACTATTGGTTTTTCTCAAGGTTGAGCGATTCAGTATGTGAAGTTAAATACAGCTCTGTGGGTCTGTTTAATTGTTGGTCGAAGAAGCACAGCTGACTGGATTTACACAAAATCAAAGAACCCCATGATTGTAAGAATCTGGTAAATGTGGGAAAACTGATATGCAAGTTCTAACTAACTAACCCTTCAGCTGTTGTTAATTAAAAAAAACTAGCCTTTTTCCATTGCTTTTCTCTTAGCTTTGCACTGCTTTCCTGAGGTGCATCTTTGAATGTCTTGCAAATTGTGTATAAAATCCTCTTCAAACCTTAATCTAGCATTACTATCCAGGTCTGACTATGTGCAACTTCATCAGGACTTTAGAAGGATGTGTTTTAATGGGAGTCATTTTCTTGATCTAGGTTTCCTTAGATGACCATGTTATGCTTTTTTCTCAAGGCATTTTACAAAGGAGTCACTATGCTAATGTTGGTGCAGCAAATTCCATGAAATATCTTGTGAAAACTTTAAATGAATGTTATTTCTTAAGCTTTTTGTCGTCCGCTATAACACATTTCATATTGTGCAAGAAAGAACTGCTGGGATAACTTTGCTCCTGTGCAGGTTTCGACTCGAGGTCAGGCAGTGGCAGAAGAGCCTTTGGCAGTGGGTACCGCCGGGATGATGATTTCAGGGGTGGCGGTGACCGCTATGAGGACCGTTACGAGAGGCGGGATGATCGAATGGATAGGTGGAGCAGCAGCAGCAGCTCGCGGGATGACTATTCCAGGGATGACAGCCGGCGGGATGAGAGAGGTAGGCCCGACACTTTTTCATAGTATCAAGAAAGGAGAGCTGAGCCTTTGTTGTTGTTGTAATCCAGGGGTGTCAAACTCATGGCGTCATGTAATGTATCATGACTTTTTCCCCTTTTGCTAAAGCAGGTGTGGCCGTGGCTAGCGCATGACATATCCAGCCCTGAGTTTGACAGCTCTGCTGTAATTGGTTCTGTTGTCCTATACTTTTGATCTCACCTAGCCATGGAGGAACCCATCTGGAATTAATGTCTATGGAGATTCTCTAGTCATCCAGGTTATGGCTGTCCCAAAGATGCCTTTTCAAGAGGCAACTGGACTGAAGAAGCTTCTTGGATGAGAAGTGAAATGTCTTCAAAGAAAAAAAAAAAAAGCCCAGTTGCCTCTTGAAAAAGCACCTTTGGGACATCTGGAATTAAGTTTCCACCCAAGCAGTCCTTTTTTTCTCTCTTATCCGTATCCCCCCATGTTCTAGTATGCTGACCTCAAAACACAAAAAGTTAGTGGGAGAAGTGTCTCAAGTAGATTGCTGTTATGTGCCGGGTGTGTGTGTGTGCGTGGAAGAACTCTTGCAGAAAGATTGTCTTTTGATTCTTGGTAGTTCTCGAGTTCTCTGCAGCCTAGTTTAGGTAAGCAAGCTGTATGAAGTTTCATGAGTCTTGTGCTGTTGGATTTCCCTCAACTCTTCAGGATTTATTGTGTCTTTTTTGTGTGTGTGTGTTCATGCACAAGTGTGCATACCATTAATTTCTCCAACTTTATTTTACTCCCCCCCCCCCTTTCTTAGGTTCTACTCAGAGGCCAAAACTGAATTTGAAGCCCCGGAGTACTCCCAAGGAAGAAGATACAACTGTAGCCCCTGCGAGTCAGTCTAGCCGTGCAGCTTCTATCTTTGGAGGAGCCAAGCCTGTGGACACTGCTGCAAGAGAGCGTGAAGTAGAAGAAAGGCTACAAAAGGAGCAAGAGAAGTTGCAGCGCCAACTGGAAGATGATAAACCCAGGCTAGACAGACGGCCCCGGGAACGGTGAGCAGCAGAAGGCTATCTTCTCTGCAGAGAAAATGGTAGTTTTCAGAAAGGAAGCGTCCGCAATTCAAAATTAGGATGACAATCTTGCAAAATAGACTACATATATAGGTAATCCTCGACTTACAACCATAATGGAGTCCAAAACTTCCGTTGCTAAGCGAGACAACTGTTATGTGAGTTTTGTCCCATTTTAAGACCTTTCTTGTCACTTTCGTTAAGTAAGTCACTGCAGTCGTTAAGTTGGTAACACAGTTGTTAAGTGAATCTGGCTTCCCCATTGACTTTGCTTGTCAGAAGGTCGCAAAAAGGGATCATATGACACTGCAGCTGTCATAAATATGAAACCATTGTCAAGAGTCCGAAGTTTGATCATGTGACCATGGGCATTCTGCAACAATTATAAATGTGAAAAAATTGTTGTAAGTAACTTTTTTCAACGATGTTGTAATTTCGAACGGTCACTAAACAAACTGTTGTAAGTCAAGGACCACTTGTATTCATCTGCACTTGGTCAAACACTGCCAAATACACCTGCATCCTGAACAGCCCCATGTCTTTAACGTGCTTTGAAAAATTATTTGCTGTGTGATAGGCATCACTATCTTAACCGCCTGTGGGGGGGAGGGGAAGAGAGTTTTGTAACAGTGTCCTAAAAGTGCACCCTCACTTATTTATCTGTATATACTCTTAGGCACCCTAGCTGGCGTAGTGAAGAAAACCAAGAGCGGTCAAGGACAGGAAGCGAATCTTCACAGACTAGCAGCACAACCCCTTCTGTGGGGACTGGCCCAACAGGAAGAAGTAAGTCCATCAAGATATTAGTAGGTCCTGAAGTAAACCTTTTTCTTGCTGGAAAGCCCCATTAAATTGTTCCAACTTGAGCCAGCCCTGCCATGGGTATATCTGAGGTTGAGATTCAGTTGAATGATATTATAAATAAGAGCATCCAGATTTGGAAACCCATGGATTATTTGAATGGGCTAAGTCCCCCATTTGCCTGATGTTTACGTGATGTTGTAAATCTTTACTCTTAACTACTTTTTCTTCAGGATACTGCTGTGTGTATTGGGTGCTTCTGCCACAGAAGTATCTCCTGAAGGATTTGTTGTAAGCTTCTTGTTTTTGCTTACACTCTTCCCCCCAAAGCTCAGAATTGAAAATTAAGCTATATCTATCGTAGTATACATTTCTTCAAAGTTCTGGGGATAAATGCCTCAAAGGTGCTTTTTCAAGAGGCAACTAGATTTCCTTGTTTTTCTTGGAAGACATTTCGCTTCTCATCCAAGAAGCTTCTTCAAGCTCTGATTGGATGGTGGAAAATGGAAGGATTTATTCTCCTTACAGACAGCTGGTCATTTGCATACATTATTTTAGAGAGTCATTAACACAATCTGGGTCATCTGAGTGGTGCAGATGCTTGTGGAGCCTTGTAACTGTTAAAAGGACTGTGTTGTAAACTGGAGATAGATGATGTCGTATCTCTCCTGTTGAGAGGGGGCTGAGATAAGTTAATTCATTTGTGATCTCTGATTTTAAATGGAAAGTCTCAACATAATCAAGAAAAAGCCCTTCATCCAGACATCTTCCCTTCTTTTACACGGTAACTGAATTTCTTAATCCAAAAGGCCACCTCATACACACTCCATCCAAAATATATCTTTAGGTGCAGGGTGGGTGGGGTAGAGAGCAGGTTGCCAGGACAAAAAATCAAGGTCAAACACAGCTGTGAGCCTTAGCAGAAGTAATAAGAGCATTGAACCAGTCAGAGTGACCTACAGTCTTTTCTTCCCTAATTCGTAATTCCCTTTATTAGGAGTCCCAAACAATGTTATCAGGTTATTTGAGCACGATCACAATCATTTCAATCCATGAAGAAACAGCTTTGATCTAGTGAGTGGAAGCTGGATGGAGTCATATTCAAAAATTTTTAAAAAAAGCAATTCAGATTTATAGTCCTAAATATATGACACCACACGGGTGTAGGAATTACATTAACTTTAATTAGCTGATTCCTGAAAGCTGTGGCATCTTTTATTCCCGAGCTGCCATAGACATCTAAAAAAAGTAATGGTACCTCACTGAAGAATGGAGAGATGTTGGTGCTGTACTTAACAGGATCCAAAACATTTCTTCCAAATCATTTTCCAAGGGTGTATATTCTTAAATGCATCTTAATATACAATACAACCCTATTGTAGAGGTCAGTAGGGCCATCACAATAATAAATGAAGGCAATTTTGTTAAGGTTCATAGACCAGATATATCAGCAGCCTGAAAACGTTTGGAAAATTTGGAAAGCCAGAACTTTTGGGAAGAGAACAAGGCAGCACATTTCCTCCTTTCTCATAAAGTTTTTATTGTATTCTCTTTCCCCATTCACAATGAGATTTGCTACGGCACCTCTTACCATTAGATACTATTATCATATCAGACTATTTTAATGTGATACGGGTAATTAACAGGGTGAGACTTCCCTAGCCTGATTATTATATTCTGTTTAGGCCAGGAGTGTCCAACCTTTTGGCTTGCCTGGAACACGTTGAGTCAAGAGGAATAGTCTTGGGCTGCATATGAAATACATAATATAATTAATGTATATAAATAATAATCTTCCTTTTAAAATATATTTATTACAATGTTGGGGGGGGGGAGCCCGCATTACTTGCTGTCCAGGGCCACATGCGGATTGTTGGCTACAGGTTGGACATGCCTGATTTAGATTGTGACAGATACTCTTATATGCAGCTTAGTTAGATTTAAAGTTTTCGTTTTGTTTATTTATAATCACATTTATAAAGCTGCCCCATTTTTCGATGATGCTGGGGTGGCATGCAGATTGAAAACTAAGGGAATAGTAGTCATCAAAAAAGAAAGACGTTGATCCCAGTGGAACAAATGTATGAATTACTCATGCTCCTCCAGCTTGGGGAACGAGCCCTTCTTTCCAGTTCTTTAAGGCTTCTTTAAAGTTCAGCAGGGTGAAGGATGCTGCCCCAGAAGGCAGGCACGGCAACAGAGAAGCCATGCTTCCTATGCCTCATCAAATTGAATTATTTAATTCGGAGCATGTTGATTCATTCTGAACTTACAGCATGGGCAGAAACAAATGGGAGAGAGAGATGGTCCCTCAAATAACCTGGTCCTGAGCCATGTAGGGCTTCTGCTTCCAATTGAGGGCTGGCTTTTTTGCTGGGGGAAGGCCTGGTGGAGCTTTTTTAACTAGACTAAGTCTTGCACTACATTTATACATGTAGCCCTTCACTTAACAGACCCAATTGGGACCGGAATTTCCATTGATAAGGTGGCTGTTAAGCGAATCATATCATTAAGTGAACCTGGTTTTCCCCCATTGACTTTGCCTGTTGATAACCAACTGGGGAGGTTGCAATTAGAGATCACATGACCCTGGGATGCTATACCCACCTTGAAATACATGCCAATTGCCGAACGCCCAAAATTTAATCACATGACTGTAAGGAGGCTGCAGTCGTCATAAATATGAGGATCAGTTGTAAGTCACACTAGACCCTGAAAAGATTTTTTAAAAATAACATTGAATATGTTCAGGAACTTACAGTCTTCTCGATTCACAGTGCCGTTAATATTTCAGGAATTTTTTTCACAGCTCACTGTGACTGACAGATGTCAACTGTTGCTATGTTTACCTTGAAAATTTGACATAAGCCATAATACCCCATGCTGTTGTTCCCCAAGGTGCTACAACACACAATTTGGGACCCATGGGTTTTTTGTTTTATAAATAAATCCATTATTACACCTTGTGGATTAAATATAAAATTCAAATGGAACTTTTTTTCTACAATTATGCACTGCATTTGCAAACTTTTTTTGGCAACTTGATGGTACCTTTTGGTGAAATGTGCTGACTAATCCTGAAACATTCAACAACACCAATAATACGTTGAATAGCACAGCTGTGGAAGGAAACTCAGTTTTCTGCCTCCTATTCTACTGTTGTAGCTTCACGAAGGAGGGAGAGTGAGAAGTCATTGGAAAATGAAAACATCAGCAAAGAGGATGAAAGTCTTTCTCCAACCTCCAAGACCCCTAGAGAAGAGAAGCTTCCTTTGAAAGTAATGCCAGCTCCTCCTCCAAAAGAAAATGCCTGGGTGAAACGAAGCAACTCGCACCCAGCACGCTCACAGAGTTCTGACTCCGATCAGCATTCCCCAACAAGGTGAGTTTAGAGAACGGAGGATGCTGTGTTGCTGGGGGTTTTCCCATTTCCTCTTTTAAAGCAAGAACTGACGTTACAGCAACATGGATTTTGAAAATGTGGCAAAAGGCTGTGTGATTCGCCAATGTTGTGGCTTCATCAAGACTCTTCTGAAATAAAAAAATTCTAGCACCATTTCAGAAGGGGGAAAAATGGCAGAGCAGGTAGGAATAGGGTCCAGTTTGTTGGACTCCCAGTCCTTATCAGATCCAGCCAGCATGTCGAGTAGACAGAAATGGTAAGGTTTCCCATTCCCTGCTGTGAAGCAGGTACACTCATGTTCTGTGTAAATAAATAAACTGGATTTGCTGCCTTAACGTTCATCATTCAGGAAATAGTTCTCAAATTTAGACAAGTTACCTGCCTGTCCTCTTTAGCAGAACAGCCTTACCTTCTGTAACTTAAAAGAAAAAAAGAGCTGCTAGTGTGAATGAGTACAATGTATGAAAGCAATATTTTGCCACCTTAAAAAGTTTTAATTATTCAGCTGCATTTGTCACCTTCTCACAAATAGGAAAAACATTAAGTTGAAGTGTTAAATGTTTGGGGACTGCTGTGGTGGGATGGTTAACATATTGAAGCAAGAAAACTCATAGCCATAAAAACTCACAGGGTGATTGTGGGCCAGTCGCCAATCATTCACTCTCTGCCTAACCTTTCTCAAAAGGAGGGGGTGATTTGGGAAAGAATGGGAGGAGAAAGTATTGTGGCTCAGTATAATTATAATAAATTCATTGCTTGAGCTGAATAAAAGATTAGATATAAGGCTAGCAAAAACTGAGTGGATGGATGGATTACCTGTATCAAAAAATAACTGCTTAATGACTAAAATAAAGCATTTTTCACAGATGGGAAGATCTAGTGGAAGTTTTTGTGCCACTTTTATTTCTTTGAAAATTCTAATATGCAGAAAATGTATGTCGAAAAGGCTTTTTACTTTGATAAGGACTTGCATAAAAGTTTGCATTTTTAAAAAAGCCCAAGTATAATAAGTAAATATGAATTTCTGATTACCCTAAGTTAGAATTTTTACACTTTGTTTATTTAAGCTGTAGTTTTATTAAAAACTAGCACTAGTGATTATCATATACCATCTTACAGAGAGCTCTCATTTTCAGCTTTCACTGAATATGTTCATAGAAAGAAGTAAATGCACATGCTACTGAAATAAGCAAGAAATTCAACTGATAATATTAACTCTAAATGTTAACTCTATCAAAATTCCCTAGATTTTATTTGTTATTCTGGTCTCCATTCTGACAGGAGTTTCATTACCATAAGTATTTTATCTGATTTAAGATGTTCCCCGTTCCCCTGCCAAATGCTCACTTGTTTTGAAAATTAAGCTGTCATCAGTTCTTCAGTTTGTTTTGGTAAAACACTCCCATTTCCTGTAATTCGTTTAGTCTGTCTGTAAGCTCTTGACTTAATTTACATACCTGCCTTGTGTTAGTCATGAGGAATAGGAAGAAACTTTGGGAGGAGTGTTCTGCACCTGGACAATTAGAAATCATATTGAGTTACTTCTGTCTGCTGAACTGAACCAAGTATTGATTGCATTTTGTCTAGCCAGGTGATCACCAGCAACTTAAGTGGCTCTAGTGTAACTCCTGCTGGACGTTGTTACATGGAAGTATCGTGTCACAATTAATATGGAAACTGCTACATTTTGTACAAGTTGCAGTTTCTGGATGGTCTTCACCGACAACCTATATAGATCATATTTCAGTAGTCATAAAGTGATGAGAGAATGAGTGCCCATGGCCGGAAATGGCCACAGTTGGTGTATCAGGCACAAATGGGCGTTCCCCTTGGCATATCTTTCACCAGCTGCTTCAGCAGTAGCTTAACAAACAGCTCTTTCTGGGAGAGAAAAAGCCCATCATTATCTGAGATTAGTTTTGCCTTAGAATTAGTTAATTTCTAAAACACGAGCCAGTCATGAACTGATTTGAGACTGTCCGATGCTCACCATTCACATCCTCAGTCCTTCCAAGTCAAAATTTCTACCACTTCTCATTAAGTCCGAGATAGATATACACATTCACATCGACTGAAACCATCTGCCGAGATGTTTCTAATTTAAACCATCTTTTAAAAGTATTTGAAAGACACTACAAGTACTCCTCAAGTTAAACCATAGCTGGGGTTGGAATTTTGGTTATAAGTTGCTGTGGTTGCAAGTTTGGGCACTGCAGGAGCAGATTTGATTTTATGACCGTTTTGATGGTGGTGATTAAACGATTCAATTCTGTCATTGAAGTGGAATACAGGGTCATAAGAAGTGTAAATACATTTTATCCAGTGGGGTTTTTGTTTTTTTAAGGGAAGATGGCAAAAATTACAAGACACAATCATGTGACCACAGGATGCTGGCAATAGCTGTAAATATAAGGTGGTTGTTAAGCCCCGAAATGCAATCATATAACTGTGTGGATGGCAAAACAATCGTAATTCAAGGATGGGTCAGAAGTAACTTTTTTTCAGTCCATCGTAATTTTGAGTGTTTGTTAAGCGACTGGTTGTAAGTCAGAGGCTACCTATGCTTGCCTTTCTGGTTTAAAAATTGGGATAACATAATTTTATGTTAATTCAAAATATTTACAAGGCCAAGCTACTATGTAACAAGCACAAGAATCTGTTCGTATTTTGCAGCAGTATGTGAGGCATGAAAGAAGCACAATGATCCATTATTTGGAGAAAGCATTTCCAGATACCTGTATCTATTTTCATCCGAGAGTCCAAATTACTTGTCCTAAGTTTTCATTATTCAGTCAGAAAATTGTGTGGTATACTTTTCAGTGGTTTGCCTCTAAGATGTAGGTTGAAAGGATTATATGAATTGTTCCGAGGAGAGAAAACTGACCAGATATATATCATGTGTGCGCAAATTATTTCAAGTATATTAACCTCTGTTTTGCAGTGGCAGTCAAGCTGTGTTATCAGAAGATGGAGTGTCCTCCAAAGGTGCCCCACGAAAAGGTAAGGCTGGAATGTGTGCAACCTCAATGGGAAACCTGCAGGGAGCTGAAGTATTTCAAAGAAAAGACCTATCTCCTCATAGGGTTTTCCTTAGAAACCAGTGGGTAGCCAAACAAGTCTTGCCATTTTTGATGTATCTAGAATAGGAGGATGGAGGCTTTTTCCCTGCTTTGTTTCAGGAGATGAAAACAGACCTGATGGGGGAAATGAGAGCGTTCCAAAGGGACGAAGAGGGAGCTCTGGCCATGGTCCTGGAGATGGAGGCAGCAGAGACCATTGGCAAGACCTGGAACGGTAATATATATATATATATTTTTGTCATGCGCCACTGTTCAGTGGAATGGAATATACCAGCGTTTCTCAACCTTGAAAGCTTTTAAGATGCGTGGACTTCAACTCCCAGAATTCCCTAGTTAACCTTGCTGGCTGGGGAATTCTTGGAGTTGAAGTCCACACATCTTCAAGCTGCCACAGTTGAGAAACTCCAATTCATATTTCTTATTGAAGAGAGGCAGTGATCATAACAAATGGCGCTGTTTATCTTGCATGCATTTGTGGATTACACTCAGTGGTTTTATACCTGGAAAATGGGCCTGCTGGAGAACCATTAGCAGGGAAATTATTACTGAGCAGCCCAAACTCTGCCTATCTAATTTGTACCACTACCACACTGAGAATTGATTTTTTTTTTTTTTTTGTGAATTATACAATACTTTATCTTACCCTTTATATCCTCTGGCATTGGGGCTTGGAGGTAAATGCTCAATGATAACATTTTTCTCTGAATTTGCTTGCTAAATTAACATGGTAGCATTGTTCATTTTTAGGAAAGAAAGCAACGAGGAGCATGACTCAAGATCTGCACCTGAGCCAAAGAAATTTGAAGAGAACCCTGTCCCCGTAAATACTGAGCCTACTATTTTTTTAGGGAATTACTGTTAAATACAATGAGGATTAGGCAACTTTACTGACTAAAATGGGTTGGTACATACTGGGATTCACTTGTCTTTCAGCAGTTACCAGTATCGAAATAGAAATGACAATAATGAGAAGTTGTACTGTATGCATTGTGGTTTCATGCTAGGGTTGTCCTATCTTCCACTGAGACATTTGTGTCTTAATAAAGTTGAGAATAGCTGCCTTTTGTGGCCCAAATCCTTTGAAGTAGAAGGCAAGCTTCCTGAGATGATAGAAGGAATTAGTTTGATACAGTAATTATGATAAATATAATAGAGGTTAAAATGGCTTTTAAAAGGGAAATATATATATATATATATATAGAGAGAGAGAGAGAGAGAGAGAGAGTTATCCCACTGTCTTTGGGGAGCCAAGTATCAGTTTTCTTAATGCTATGGAAGTTGACTTAAAATGAAAAACAAAGAACGAATTCACCTTTCTGGGGTGCAAAATTTGCCTGGGAGACAGAAAGCCCTTGATTTATTTCTTAGTGTCTCCGGTTTAAAGAATTTTGGCATGATCACCATTTTGCTTGTTACATGTAGCATTTTATCTGCCTAGAATACAGAATACCATTTATACCACTCTATTCTTTATAGAAGGTCTGAAATACAATGTACAAATCACCAAAAACTTAATACCGACAGTCATCGGTATTCTGATAATCTTCTTTCCCACTTTTCTTGCAGAAATTTAGCTGTGCTAGCAAGTATGCTGCTTTGTCAGTGGATGGTGATGACGAAGCTGAAGGAGAAGAGTATGCTGATTAAATTCTCCATCCCCCTCTATGTTGTCTCCTAACCGGTTGCCATCCAGGAACTTTTGGAGAGCAAAACCAAACCTTTATTCAGACAAGACAGAAAAATAAAAGCCTACAAGTGAACATCTCCTGGGAGAGACCTTTCTTAAACCTTTCTTTAAAAAATAAGAAAAAAAATGATATAGAATTTCTCTTGCATGCTGCTGCAGCCTTTAAAGTATTGAACTTACTGGAGAGATCCCTGCAAAAAAAAAAAAAAGTACAGCAAGAGACAAAAAAAAGATGGCAGGTGTCTTTTTAAAAAAGAAAGAAAGAAATAGGCCCAGTATGTGTTTGAATGTTACTTCACGCTGCTTCTAATCACATTCAGAGCCTCGGGTCCTTTCCATTAAGAGCTAAGGTTAGTGCTTTAGTAGGCTAGTGTGTGACTGAGCGCATCGGGAACATGGACAGCTAAACCCTGTCTCTTTCCCTCTTTCGGTAGCTTGGGTGGCTTCTATAATATAATCTCAAAGCAGTTAATGCACTGGGGAGGAAAAGCAGTATTATCTTAATTAGTTGAAAGAAGGGACCGGTTAGCTTTCACGTTAGAAGATTACCATCTCTGCCCAACAGGTATCTCGGGAGTTTAGGTGCATGCCTTGCTTTTCTGGTATGATGGCTGGCTCCCCCCCCCCCCCCCCCCCCCCCAAAATCACCTGCCTTTAGAAAGTGTCACTGAGAGGCTGAACACAAGGCCTTTGCCTCTCAGGACCCTCTTCCTAGAAGTTTCAGGGCTGTATCCCACCCACTCCAGAAATTGGCCCTATGGACAAATTGCTTCAGTACAGAAAGCCACTTTTCATTCAGCTCCTATGAAACCAGCCTCCATGTCAGTAGTCACTTGAGCTGTGCAGTGTCGGCACAGGGTGTATACGGATAGACCATGCAGAAAATAACTTTATATGTTTGAAGCTCCGTTGTTCTAAGTTTCCAGTAACCTTCCTAAAGGTACTGTGCTGTATGAAGGAATGCTGGGGAGCAATTTAATTTTAGGAGATTTATAAACTTTCCCTGAAGTGCTGTCTGTCCTTCTGTCTGCTTTTAATCATTGAAGGGCAATCACTATACTGTCACAAAGTAATAGCATTTTTTTTTTCAAATTTAGAGCACTGCTTAAAGAGGGTGGGGGCCGTTGAAAGACTGGTGGAGCATCTTCCTTGCATCACACGATGGTTCATTTCCCTCCTCTAGCTTAGGTGTGGTTCGGCAATTTGAATAGCAAAGTTTTGATTTTCCTTTTAATTTTCTTCAAAAAAAAAATAGGCTATCAGAAGTTAAACTTGGGAATAGGAATTTCTGCCACTTGTTGTTTTAGCATTCTTTCATTTTTCTGAGCAAATGCATAGGGGAAGAACAAATTGCAGCACAGGGAACAGAAGCAGCACAATGCTTTAGTAGCCAGTTTACAAATGCATAGACGCAGGAAGGAAGCATCTGCCTAGGACTTGGCTGGATTTTATGAGATGTGCATGCATTCAGCGGGGGCTATTTTACATAATTTGGGGAGAAGAACAATGTGATTTTACTCTTGAAACAATCTCAAGTTATATTAAATTAAGGATCCAGGCTATTGTAAAGTTGGTACAGTTAGGGTCTTATTTTCATAACTTTTAAGCTACAACTAAGCCAGCTTTTAGAAATGGAACGAGTATTGTCCTTTCTCAAAGATGGGAGATGGAAAGTGGGATGAGACCTGGTGAGGGCAATAGATGGGCTTGAAATGCATGATTGCTTTGAGTCTTTTAACAGTGAGGAGCTGTTATTGGAGAGAAACTGCTAATTTGCAAATCCCAGAAGCATTCTCTTTCTTCCAGCAATCTTGAATATTCTGTCTCTACTATCAGGACAGGTTCATGAGTGGATTGAGGTGCGTTTTACACATTCTGAAAAACATGTAAAATTTGTACAAAATATCTTCCATGAAAATGATTTGTAATCTGCATGGACTTCCTGGGAGATGTCTTTTATTATGTAAAATTCCCCTTCCCCACCCTTTCTTGGTTTTTTGTTTTGTTTTGTTTTTCTCCAAATAAATAATCTTTAAAATAAGACTTCAGAGCTAAAATGGTCCTTTTGAGAAGATGCTGCTTCTACCACAGTAGACAGAAGTCTGCTCTCAGATACATGAACGAGCAGGATTCCTCTGCAGATCAACAAAGGGGAATCTCTATAAAGTAGAGTCATTTTAAACTCCATTAGGATTTCTCTGAGAAGTGGAGAAGCTTTACTTGAATGATAGTTTGCCTTTGATCGCCAGCTTCCTGTTGCTTGACTGTACGGAGTGTATTCCAGATGGCATTTTTTGATTTAGATCATGACAGACCTGACCGCAAACTTTTTTCCCTTAGTTTGCAAAGGTTTCTTTTACTCCCAGTAAAAACAAATCTTAGGCTCGCTTCCTGGTCTTGGCCCCACCCTCACTATCTTTTCCCACCTCCCTAAGGATTATTTGCAGAATGGAGTCTTATGGTACTGATGCGTGGGCAGTGCCAACCTAGGTATGTTGTTTCCTTTAACTTGAAATTAATATACATGACATTCATAGCTTTGGGTTTTAAAAATGCTTTCTGAAGTGTCCAAGGTGTTCCCTGAACATTCTGTTTAAGCTTTAAAAGCAGATCAATATTTCTTCAGATTTAGGGAAAGAAAGGTTAACGAGCAAAACAGATTTCGTTCATTTAACAAATTTATGGTCAAGGGCTAAAGAGTTGTGGGGTTTGGACTTGGGTTCATTTGGCTTTTGTAAAGGTTTACATCGCTTATATACTTACTTCAAAATTAAGACATCCCCAACATTTATTTTCTCCCTTTCGTTTTGGATTTAAGGCCAAAACAGATAATAATTGGCAAAGGCAGAAAGTAGCTGTGAAAAGCTACCATTTTAATATCCTGTGGCCATTTACGGTTAATTCATAAATCATCTTGGAGATACCACAGACTTGGCACATGCACCTCTTGTCTTCTACCATGGCACGCATCCTTTTTGGAAACTCTGGGTTGCAGTTAAGTCTTAGGTGTTAAAGTCTGTTGGAGCCAAGGGAACAAGTGGAGCCAAGGGAAAAAGAAGACATAATTTTTACCAACATTAATAACACTGTTAGAATTATTTTATGACTTGCTGGAAGCTTTATGATTCTTCTTAGGAAAGAGTTTGGATATACTTTGGTACAGGTAATCGTTGACTTACGACCACAAATTGAGCCCAAAATTTCTGTTGCTAAGCAAGACAGTTGTTAAGTGAGTTTTGCCTCATTTTGCAATCTTTTCTTGAATCACTGCAGTTAAGTTGTTAAGTAACACAGTTAAGTGAATCTGGCTTCCACATTGACTTTGCTTGCCAGAAGGTCACAGAAGGAGATCACATGACCCTGGAAAACAGCAAAGGGCATAAGTATGAACCAGTTGCCAAGCGTCTAGATTTTAATCACGTAGACCATGGGAATATTGCGGTGCTCATAAGTGTGAAAGTCACCTTTTTCAGTGCTGTTGTAACTGAACTGTCACTAAATGAACTTGTAAGTCAAGGACTATCTGTGTACGTCATTCATAAAGAATTATAAATTATATAATGACAAAGAATCTTCTGTGAACTAAATTTACTGCTTTGGAAGCCCAGAATACTCTGACTTCTTTAAAATTTAACAGTGAGCAACTCCATACTAAAAAAAATGCCCCGAATATAATTTAATAAAGCTTCTGAACAACTTAGGTATATATATCCTTGAAAAACTACCCAGCTGTGGAGTTTTGCTTTCCTATCTAACTTGTACTATCAGAGTTATTTTTATTCCACAAGAGAGAGCTGAAGAGCTGGCATATTGTATGTTATTCTTTCCTGAGAAGTCATTTTCTGTAGACCCAAAGAGTATGGAATTAGCACTTTAGGTGTTGAATTATTCAAGAGTCCCAAGCCAGTTGCACAATTAGTAGATGTGAAGACTTCCTTAAATTAAGCTCAACTTCTGGTAACTATGAAGTCCAGCTACAGTCTGGACTTCAAGGCTCTCCCTTCCTAATCAGGTGGAATCTACTTCGCTTTTGCAAAATACTTTTGCAAAAAGTATTTGGATAAGTATGGGTTCTCCACTTCTAATCTAGCCTGAATTATTTGCTTTAAGAATAGCAGTGACCTCAAACTAACAAGTGAGGCACTGATAGATCTTTATATTCTGCACTGTTGGTTGAATTCCATCAAGAATAAACTATGCAAATTAAACTTGTCTATATGAATTCTTCCAAAGTCAATTGATAACCCTTTTATTATAGAAACTTAGATGAAAACTTCCAACTCATTTTCATTGAACTTGCCAGTTGCATCTGATAGGTCACTGTGGATTAAGCCATGAATATTGGCCTGATCAAGCACTACAGTTTTTAGGTTATTACATTATATTTCTCAAGTGGTTTGTGTACGTTCTTGGCAAAGCCAGCCTCTGACATCAGGCCAGGAAGGAGAGAATGGTAAAAAAGAATAACAGTTGTGTTCTTGACTGGCACTACAAAGGGAATAATACAGATCTGTGCAGAACTGAAGTTCAACATTGGAATGACAATGTTAATCAGCAACCATTGATTGAAACCATATATATATATATAATACACGCACGCACGCACGCACATATATATATGGTATTCAGCTTTGTTCGGGTACTTTCCCACGTCATTGTAGTTGTGCTTTTAAAGTTGTAGCAACGTTTCGGCAGAATCTCATCAGGCTTCAATACAGAAGCCTGATGATGGCAGATGAGATTCTGCCAAAATGTTGCTACAACTTTAAAAGCACAACTACAATGACGTGGGAAAATACCCGAACAAAGCTGAATACCATACATGTAAGTACCCGCGAAAACTTAAGAATATATATATATACATACACACACACACATACACATTTTATAACACCTTCCATTGCAGAATACAAATGAGCTAGAAATGTGACTTTCACTACAAAATTGGGTATAATCTTACATGTAAGAGTTCCTGACTTGCTTTTCAGTGGCACCTGAGGGTTTGCTTCAGTTGAGTGTGTAGGAGTAATCAAGAATCAGGTTGAGCTAGTTCCCTGTCAGTGCTGATTTCTTAGGTTTTAAAGTCCTACAGCTAAATCTCTTGCATTAGTGCCCGTATTTATTTGCATACAGAGTATGAAAGGAGCCTCCGCCTCACAAATTTCTCAGATTTGCAGAAGGAGGCTCTGTTGTGAGCGAATTACATTCAGAACTTTCCAAACCTTGGAGATTTTGGTGGCAAATCTTCCCCTTGGTGTATACATACTCAGGCATGGGATCTGCTAATCTTGGCTTTCTTCACTATCGCAGGGTAATACTTGTTGGCTGTTAACTGAGTAGGGATTTTCATCCCCCCCCCCCCCCCCACCCCCAGCTAAAACCGCTTGGAATCCCTGTTGAAGAGGTGCTAGCAAAGTTCTAGAAAATGGCTCTGTTCAAATGAATTGTTTCCTCCTTAATTTCTTAAGAGCAGCAGTCCCCAACTTTTCCAACTTGGTTAGCCCTGGGGGAGGGGATGGTTCTATGTGAGTGGTAAGTGCGTGAAAGCACCCATTGTTCGCACCCGTAGAGCTGCATGTGCATGCACTTACCCCCCACTTGAGCGACCTGGTTCTGAACAAGCTGCAGTCCACTAGTGGGCTGCAACCAGTGGTGGGATTCAATTTTTTTTATTACTGATTCTGTAGGGTATGGCTTGGTCGGCGTGGCAGGGGAAGGATACTGTAAAATCTCCAGTCAGAGGTGGTGTTTGCCAGTTGTCCAAACTACTCAAAATGTCCACTACCGGTTCTCCAGAACAGGTCAGAACCTGCTGAACACCACCTCTGGCTGCAACCCAAGGGTTGGAGACCCATGTCGTGCAGAATCCCATCAAATTTTTATGGAATTTGACAGTTCTGAGGATCACAGTTTGAAAGACCCTGTTCTAGAACATCTGCTTTTCTTGAGATACTTTCTTCTTTTGTTTGGTTTTCATTTCTATGTGCATTTCCCATGCTCATACTTTGGTTAAATTGTCAATATTGCAGTAGAAATACCAGTGGATTTGCAGTTGGCTTGGATCCCTATGGCTCTGAGGGCTCTCCTTTGTAAATGTCAGAGCTGCAGGAGCTTTCCCCTTCAGATGGACGCAATCCGCATCTGTGTGAGTCCTGTAAACCACCAGGCTTTCGTGAAATGAACTGAACTCATGTTTTACGATCAACCACTGAAGGTTGCTGGCTCCACACCCCTTTCTAAGGCATTCCTTGTTGCGTCTTGGGCAACTGCAGATACTGATAAATTGACTAGCCAGGATGCTTGAACAGTTCTGGTGGACATTCTCAGTCTCAAAGCATGCTATTGATGTTCCACTATATTCCGTGCCAAAAGAAATGCACCGACAAAGGGTTGTGGCAGTCAAAGTTGACAGGCTCTGAACATGACAAGAAGAAATGGGAACAGATGTCCAATCTGAACCACCTGTATGGGCTCCAGCTTCTCTCCTGCTGGGGGCATGAATAGTTCAACAAACTTCCATACAAAGTGTTGCTTCTTTTGCTCTTAACGCAGTTTCTGAATTGGAGTTCTTTAGTTGCTACGGTAGGAGTGTGCAATTTCAACTCAGGCCAAGCAAAATTGAGCGGCTATGGATTCTGGGTCCCTCTGTTCCAGTGACTCATATCCTTTAGTTATGGATGGGCTTTCATCTCCAGCTGCAACTGGTACAAAATGTACAGGGTATTTTGCACTCTGAACTTCTGTTAGGTTGAGCAAGTATCAGCCATGTCCAGGGTAGCCTTTGTAGGGATGCCTCTTATGTGCCAAGTGTGCCTATTTCTACATTTAATCTAGTGGTTAAGGCACCAAGCTAGAAACTGGGAAACT